CTATGTATAAGCAATATTAATATATTCTATACTGTAGGGACCTGTTAAGGTTTCCATTTGTAGACAGAATAATATGTTAAAGTCAGTTGGCAGTGTATTGTCTATATTCAATAGTATTTTACAATGCCAAGTTTTTGTGTCTAATTGCATGCTGATTTTCAAGTTCTTTTCCACAAATCACTGGAAATGAAATATCAAACTAATTTTGGTGACTCTTAAAACTTCGGTGCATTCAGATGTTTATTATTTACCTGCATGATTATTGTCTTTCTCTTTTGTTTCTAATTCAATAGAACAACATAAATATAGAAAAGAATTTTTTGGTTGTCTGTTTTTGGTCTATCTTGTTGAACATTTTCTTCTCTCTCCAGAGCTTTGTCCACTCATATTTTAGATAACTCAGGCAAATGAGTCTAACTCCGTAATGCCAACAACAGCAAATTATTTCAAAGTCCACTAAGCTGAACTGTTACACCATTTTTTTTAACACCTGAATGAATTGGTTTCTTTGCTAATTTTACTTTTATTACATTGCTTATTGCAGTTTTAAGTCTCATAAAGTTCTGAAGTTTTTTTAAATTAGGCTCCCCAGGAGTTAGTAGAGAACTGTCAAAACCACCTTAAAGCTTTTGGCTATATAATAAATTAGAAGATAATTCACTTTTGTATAATTTATTTATGTTTTATATAGTTATTAATAGATAAATAATATACATAGAAATAGTATACATAGAAAAATAAAAATATAATGGAAAGTTCTGTAAGAAGACTGTGGCTTGGTAATCCTTGGTTGACTGATTGATTTCTGCTCTGTTTAAAACCCTTAGAGAGACTGGGAATTTTAAATTCTAATTCTTGCACATTTAAGTGCTTTTGACATTTAATGAAAAAAAGAAAGAAAGAAATGCAAAAATTATTTTTTGCATGAATGCATATATGTCTATAATGCCCTTGTGTAAGGATGATATCAGTCATAATTAATTTTTTTAAGCATTTTTGTCCAGGCTTCACTGAAGGATGACCTAATGCAGTGTCTTGTAGAGTTGCATTTTAGGTAATAACAGGAAGAAAACAGTAACACAGTTAAGCCTTACAAAGGTTTGTTTTCAGTTAAATTGAGATAGGATTTACTGATTGATTACAATGCATGTAGCACTCCACGGTGTAGTAGGTGCATGTCATTAAAAAATATTTTTATTTGGACGTAATTCTGTTCAATACACCAGATTTCCGAACTTTTGTATTTGGTAATATTGTGCAAAACCTGGGGTATTTGCTTCCAGACATAAAAATAACTTCAAATTAAATTAAGGGTAGGCCAGATATAAGTTGCTTATGCCAAAGATATGTGTGTTATTTCTTCTGTTGTAACAGCCTTAGATTTAATGACAACACCCACATAGCAGCCACTGGTTTCACAGGTTATGCACAGCTAAACAGAGACCTTTCCTCTGACAGACATTTCTGTCTGTACTAGCAGATGCATTTGCATGTGTCAGTTTAACTTAATCAGTTTAAAATAAAGTGAGGTTAAATTATACTTTGGTCTTAGCTGTAGTGCACTAAGGACAGAATTTTTCTGGTTTTCTCAACTATTCCAGCTGATCATCTAAAAGATGTTTCCCTTTGCTACAAACCTGGTTCTTTCAACTTCTCAGCTACAACCAAATACCATTACAACCAGATAACAGTTTTGCTTGAAACAGCTCAAGGCTGTAGGGGTGATTTTCCAATTCCAGTTGGAGACATTACACTTTATCTTCTGCAGAGTAGGAGCTGTACATCAGTTGATTTCCATTCCACAAACCTAGCACTGGAAAAAGAAATATGATATCTTGCTTTTGCCAAAATAAATGGGAGTATAAAAAGGAGAAAAAAGAATGGGATGCCTTGTTAAATATTAAAAAAAAGAGAGGTTCATATGTCAAAGCCAACATCTTCAAACTACATAGGGAATTTTTGTGTATCCTTCTCTACTTAATTTCAGTGTGTCAGGTTCTTCCCTTTGATTGCTGACCATGTTTTTAAGCCTGGCTGTCATTAGTGTTGAAGCACATTTTTGACTATTCTCTGCTGATTGTGCTACAAGTTAAGTCACAGAATCCAAACTTAGTTTTGTAAGGTTTTTTCTTCATGCTCCCTTGTTAAATTACTGCCAGGCTTTTGAAGAATAGCAGTGTATTCTGATTATTTTGGGCAAATGCAGAGAGGAAGAAAAGTTGTTGAGCAATGCAAACATTTTCTTAGCTGAAACTTGTGGCTTAAACTTGTTTTGCTCATACAAGCAGGAGAAGTGTGTGTTCTCAGTAAAACGACTTGAGGATGAAATAGCCAAGCTCCTAGCTGCACTCTGTAATCCTTCTCTTAAACCCACCTGACTACCACAGGATTGCCTTGCAGAAGTATTTCAAAAAATGTTTTAGGGAGGATCAGAAAAATATTAACTGATAAAACTGGCGTCTGTATGAGGTGAGTTAGTTACAATATGGAATGCAGTTAGTGAACATGTGAATAAATACAGCGTATCCAGGAAGAGTTGACACAGCTTTTGTTAAGGGAGGTTGTGCTTCAGTACTTTGATGAAGTCAGGGAGCAATAAAGAAGACCTGGGCCATACAGTCTGTTGGGATTTCCAGGAAGCATTTCCCACAAGGGAAGGTGATTTTTGAGAGGAGAAACTCCTGAACTGCACGATTGCTTGCCAAAGATGTTGTGGATGTTGTGTTTTGTGGGCTACAGGACTGATCAGGTGAACTTATGAGAGTACAGAGGCATAAAACTCAGTTTAGAAAATCCTTGGCCACATTTTTCAGGTGAGGAAAGTGTTATGGAAAAGTATTATTACATTTTCACCAGTTCTCACGGTCTTTCTTTATCTCCCACTGCTGAATGCTGGTATAAACTGAATAGTGTGTCTTTTCTCTTAACCCAGTGTTCTTGTAAGGGTGCAGTTGCTCGCATGAAAATTTCCAGAAAATATGATCACTGGAGTTTCCAAATGGCGTACCTGTTGTTTTTGGTAGATGAACCGTGGTAAAATATGACTTCAGTATAACATTGTATACTCGTGTCAAAATATTTGGTTTTCCAGAGAGATGTCTGCTAATCTGGGGGCAGATTGTGTCAGTGTGTTCTAATGGTCTTTAATGGCAATTCTATGAAAGTGTTCTCTGCTGATTTTCTTCTCTTTGTCAGTTTTGCATGAAGCACTGAAAATAGCAAAATATGGTTGTAACTTTACAAACAATGGCAAAATATTCAAATGAACTTACATTATTCTAATGTAGTGGAAGGCTTTAAGTAATTTTGAACTACATCAAGTCTATAACATTTTGTTTGGAGGTACAGTAATCTATAATTACTGTAGTTTTTCCCTTGAAAAATACATGCAGAAAGTTTCTGACTATCCATACTTTTTGTTATATTGATATTTGAAAAGGTTTCTTTAAAAAAAGGGTGCAAAGGTTATTTTCTGTTATACATATATTTATATTTGGCAAAATTAGGCCTTGTTTTCAAGAGATGTGCTGGTAAGAGAACAAGAAGTTGGTATTGTCCTACAAATAAAAGTGAAACCATAATGAAACTACATCGGTGCTTTTATCATACATTCAATATGTAACAAAATTCAGTTAATATTGTCCTTCTTGGAAAACTGCTGCAAGAAAAAAATTATGCACTACTTCCCCTTCCACAGCTTCTGAGAATGCTTCTGGCCTCTTTTGGCATATTTTGTTTGCTAATCAAGTCCACCTAGATATTTATAAAGAATCCAAATACCCTCATTGCTATACACCATCAATACAGTTCTTTGCAGAACCACTGGAAGATGAGGTGGGTTCTTTTTCTCTTCTTCTAGATCTCACTTACATACTGATTACCAGCTCTTTGTAATTCCTCTTTTTTTTCTCCCCTGACATTTGGAAATGTAGCATGAATAGAAAAGCCCCATAGCTGTTGAGAAATCAACTCTTTAAAGATATACACATTACACTCCTTCAACTGAGAACATCCTACCCCTTGCTAAGCAAGTGGCTGACTTCTCCACCAGAAACCTTATCCTTTTTTCTTAAAGTGGGATTTTAGCTGCTAAAATTTCCGTTAATAAATCCCAGCTTGACTTCTTGAGTCCGTATTTCTGAAAAGTGCTATAGTCCATGGTGACCAGGGTGCAAGTGATTTGTATCTTTTGTGTCATTGTCAGGTTATGACAAAACCTTCCCAGCTGGTTCAGATCCCTTGTGGTTTCCCCTACATACCTTTTTTTCAGACAATTCAGAACTTCCAGATCCTCCTTCTTTTCCTTTAGTAAAGGTTGACATTTTTCTTTTAATTCCTTATGATCTTTTTAACTCTTGTTTTTTACTTGAAAAGTGTTTGTGAAGAAAACTGTTCTTACAAACTTGGTGTTTGCAAGAACATTGTTGTTCTTACATCACCAACACAAACAACGAGAAAAAATGCAATTTTAGAATATTATTATACAATGTATGACATGAGATTTCCTGCAGGGTTTTCTAAAACCATGTTTTATTGACTCATAAAATGTCCTGTTAATCTCAGTGCTGTCTTTGTAGTATTATTTTCCTGGGGAAAAAAGTGTTAGTAGTATAAAGTCCGTATTTTGTCTGAAAAGTGAGATAGAATTGGTTTTATTATGTATTTATTTCAATTTCATTAATCGATCTTTGATTCTTCTGAAAAAAGTAATTAAAATAATTTGTATCGATTATGTCTGCTTATTATCTATTTATCTTGACTGATAGAAATACATATAGGAAATTACGTTTATCTCTGTGTTTGTATGTGTTTGCACATGCATGTATTCCTAGTTTGAAGAGACAGCTTTTACATATTTCAGAATTATGAAATATAATCTCATTTACAAAGTGCATAACAACTGCTTCTCAAAACTCAATTTCAGCATTATTCAGTGTGTGCATGGAGCTGAGATTGCCATCTGCAGAGCTGTGTATTTCATGCCTTTAATGTCTTTCCAGCTCTGATAGCCATTGGGAGGTACAGCATGACAATAGAGACGGTGGATGTTGGATGGTGCAAAGAGATCACGGATCGTGGAGCCACCCAGATTGCTCAGCGCAGCAAATCCCTCAGATACTTGGGACTGATGAGATGTGATCAGGTAAGGAGCCTTATTCTGAGCTGGTGCCTGCTTCTGAGTGTGAGACTGTTCCTGTGTGAGCGTGAGGGAGACAGCAGGATTTATGTTTTTCTGAATAAAAATGTTTTGTATTCACTACTGTGGCAACTGTTCCAGTGTGCTGTGTTCACATATGCAGCTTAAAAGGCACCCAGAGGACTAGAAGGAGCATTATAATGTAGATTTTTAAGATATACCCGTAGGTTAAACTTGCAGCCTGTGGTGCTCACTAAAGTTTTTTGTAAAATCTGCCCTCTGACAGTTGAAAATGTTTTTGTCTGAAAGTGGTTGGTATGTCATGTTATAACTGTGACAGACCACTTTGTTTCTTAAAAGAAAGGAAAAAAAAAATCTTTAGTGTTACTTCAAGAGTGATTTAGTGATTTTCTGTATAACCGTGTTCTTGATCATATATCATGGTCTTGAAAACAGAAGGACAAAGATTTGAATAAAACCATAATGCTAAAAAGAGAAAAAAACCTGAGTTTTTTACTATGTAGCTTTATACTTAGAGTATAGTAAGAATGTCTATAAGTTTTAGCACTCTATCATTAGAAGAAAAGAGGAGAAGACAGTCCATCTCCACTTCACCCTGTATATAGCCTTCAGAAATTATGTTCCTGTTTAGAAGAGAGATCAAGAGGCCCAGGAACACAGCAGAAATGGCTAAAAGAAAAGTCACTGGGAGTCCAGAGTCTCTGACCTCAAATCTCCACATAACCCTGCAGGGATTGTTTCTTTTCCAGCCATCATCAACAAAATGTCTGGCTTGTGATGCCCATCATAAGCATCTCTCAGGCTTTTGGATTTCTTATTGGATACACTTTATTGAAAAACAGGTTTTAGTCTAAGAAACTTCATGCTCCATACCATTACCCTGCATCCTTCACAGTGCATATAGAAGACAGTGACAAAACCCAGTATTTCAAATGGCAAGGAATAATAACGTCCAGGTCAGTGGTAAAGTTAGAAATAGCATTTTGCAAAGCCAGCCTTAGGCAGTTTCCAGTTTGTGTGGAGGTAGAGCACTTTAGAAAAATTGCTCTGTCTATCAAAGCTGAGTCCACTTAATCTCCTAAACATTAGTGTTTTATAAGAGCCAACAGACAAAAAGAATGTGTGAATCTCTTTGATGGATTGTGCTAAGATTATGTACTTAGAGAATATTAAAATGCTAACTTAACCTTGGGAATTAAGCCTGACCCAGAATCATCTAACCACTTCTACACACGTATTTATTTTGTGAATTTAGCTAATGTTGAACAATCAACAAGGATCTAATAAGTGCAATAATTTTATCCTGTCTTCAACTTCTATAGAAAATCAATGATCTTGATGTTGAAAACAAGCTTTACTGCCTCATAAGTTAAAATATATGTAGTTTTTGTAGACATGTACTACAGTCTGTATTCCTCTAATTGCTGGTAAATGCTTTTCCAGTTCTTGAGAGGAGCATACATCTTTTGTGTTATGAAAAGTCAACTGCTAAAAGGAAAAAAAATAAATATTACTTAAGAAAGCTTCAGGGAAGATAGAAAAGCACTGTTGACTGTGTGCCTGCGAGTGTGTGTGTGCATCTGCAAGTATTCAAAATATGGTAGCTAAAAGATTTTAAGAAATTTGTAAATGCTGTTACAGTGAGCAGTGGAGTAGTGGGACTACTGCTGGGAATTATTTTCTTTGTTTTCAAAGCTTTGATGGGAAGAATAGCTCCACAGACAAAATGAAGCAAGTATCCTTGACTTTTAAGGGATTTTGGCAGCTAGAAGATGCCAACTCCCTTTTTCCACTGCAAATGAACAGAGAAATTACTGAACAAAATTATGTTCTCAACTGTCTCTCCCTAATATCATGCAGAACTAATTTTTTCCAATGGCTGCTCTATTACATTAAAAATGTCAGTGTCCAGCACATCATTAAAGAGAATTCTTGAGTGGTGCAGAAGGGTTTATTTACACTCCCCGTTGGCTGAAATTCTTGTCTTTCTTCTGTTGTCAGCTTGAAGTTTAGATTTGTCCCTTCTAACCAGACTTCATTTTCTGAGGTACTGACTGTTATGCTAGTACCAGGTAGCTTTTATGCCTTTCTAAGAATTCACAGGCATTTGGAAGGGAAGTACTTAAATACAGTTACATAAGGAACATATGTAAGTAGACTTCAAATGGGTACCACTAAAACAGTCTTTATGAGCCAGGCTCTTTGGAATTTCTTTGATATGCACTTGACATAAATTAGAGGCGTCAAGGGTCCTCCCCAGAAAGATCAAGAGAGGCTGCAAGCCTGGGTAAAGGCAGTCTCTGTTTTATGCCATTGATTATCCAAGTGCCTCCAGGCAATGTGTTTCAGTAGATGCAGAGCATTATTGATCCACACCATGAAAATAATCAAATTATTCATTTTTCATCAAACTGCTATTGCCATGCATGACCTTTCTTTTCATCATTTTTCCTACCAGCTAACATGCACACCACAGGAGCAATATGGTCTTTGCCTTAAAATAGATGATATTGTGTTGAGAAATATCATTTAAAAATGCTGATTTTACCATGAGAGCATATATTTCTGTTGCAACTTTTCTGTATCAGATGGGATACATCTGAGAGATCATCCAGACCTCCTGAAGTGTGAAAGCGATCTAGAGTAGACTCTAAATGTTTTTAAATACCTGTGTTCTGGACAACAGAATTCCCTAGTTGTCTGCATACCAACATTAACAGGTACTTGAAGCAGCTAGGGCCATTCTCCCTTCTAATCTCTCTCACAGGACAGGGTATCGACCGTGCAAATAAATTTTTGTGTACATGGGTATGTGTGCATCTGTGCATGCACCAGGCAGCACTCAGGACTGCACTCAGGACAACACAAGTCATGTGTTCCACAGACAGAAAATCTTGCCACTCTAAGTCTCCATTTCTTTTGAAAGCAGTAACAGATAAAATCAGTAGTTATTTAAGGCCTAAGCAGGACATTTTAGAGGTCTGTAATTGGAAAAGGCATGAAAGAGAAGGCGTTCCTGTTTTGCGTTCCAGGGGCGCTGCCTGTGTTTGCACCATGCTGCGCACCCAGGGGCAGCGAGTCAGGCTTCGTTCCTTCGTGTCACCCCTTCTCAGTGCTCTGAGAGCAGAGTGGAACCACAAACTCCCTGTTCCTCTGCACAGAGGAGTGCTGTGCTGCTGGGGGCTGCAGCCCAAAGGTTGTGTTTTAGGACTTGATGTGGCTGTCTGGGAGCACATGGCAGGTTGGTGCTGCTCAGGAAGCACGGCAGCTCTTGGTTTGTCACCCCGGTAAACACCAGGAAAAGCATAGCAAAGGGTTTAAATTCACTTCAGGTTAGCTTCCCACAGAAGAAAAAGAATATGACTATCTGGTCTTCCAAAGAGATTTTAGTTGTAGCTCTGTGTGCTGGTTTCACTTAGGACTCAGAGAGGTTTTGCTCTATGAGAAATTCCTCTTTGAGTTGATGGGACCAACTGAAGGCTGGTTTGGTTACTGACAGCCTGAGGAACCAATTGGAGAAAGTTACTTCACTCCGTGAACACACATTTTAAAGGAAGTAACTTGGTCTCCTTCTCTTCCAGCAGCAGTGCAGGTCACAGGCCCCGGCCTGGCCCCACTGCAGGCCTGTGGGGCTGGCAGGGGCAGGGCTGGGCCCTGTGTGGGGAGCTGGCATGGCCCGGCAGGGACAGGGGTGGCCATGGGCAGTGGGTGCTGTAGCTGAGACCCAGGGTGGCTGAGTGAGGTGCCCCCTCCTCCCCCTTCCCAGCACAGCCTAAGTTTCCGAGATCCTGGCACAGCTCCAGTATTGCAGCCTTGCATTCCCCATGTGAAATCTTAACTCTTTAGTGCTCAGTAAGACTTGCAGACCTCCAGCCTTCCTTTGAATATGAAAGGGGAAAAAGGAGATTCTCCGAAGTCAGTGAAGCAAGAGCTAAGTTTCTTTAGATGGAAGGAAAATGAAAAGATGCTGCGAAGATGGCTGAAAATCCTTTTGTAAAGTTGTAGGAATGAACTGATACTGCACTGAAAATTCCTATAAATCGTGGAGAAAAGACATGGGGAGTTGGAGTGTTCCATTTGATAGATCATTTGATCAAAAGCACCTGTGTTAAGAGTCTTTTGCCCCGAGGAAAGAAGGGGATCTCAGTTTTCTGAGGATGAAGCATGAACAGAGAGAAAAGAGGTGAAGAAAATTTTTGCTTTGGAGCAGTTCATTCTTAAAAGTAATACCCCATGAGTTTAACATGGCCCATAAGCACAGCTTTGGGAAAGCTGTGGGGATGGGAACAGCTTCACGAGTTGCAGTTTTTTTTCCCTGGACGAAAGCAAATTGTGAGAAGTGAAGCCACGAGAGAACTGGTTTTTTTCCCTCCTTGTGAAAAAGTCCCTATGGCCTGACAAGAGAAAACATCTCTCTCTGGAGTGACTGAAAAGGACTATTTAAGTTGAGAACTGACTGAAGTATTTTTTTTAAGTTTGTTTTGTTGTTATGAAGGTTGGGAGAGGGGAGGAAGAAGTGGTCTGAAAGTCTTATTCTGAACTTGTTTCTTTCTTTCTTAGTGTAGTTAGCAAATTTATTTTTATACCGTTTTAAGTTTTAGGCCTGCCTTGCTCTTTTGCTCCTAGTTTTGTCTCACAACAAAAAAATGAGTATATTTAAATTAGCAAATCAAAACTATAACACTCTGTATTTTTTTTTCACAGCTTAGGAAAGGGGATATTTTAAAGATAATTGAACCTTTCCTTCAATTACTTAAAGTACCTTGAGAAAGGTGTGGGCAGTCACAGGATACTTTCTTTCCTCCCACAAACACTGACATCAGAATTCCTATGAGCTTGACTTGCATCCTAAGGGCATAAAATGGCGCCTAAATCAAAATAACAGATTTAAATGCATATTTCAAGCTTTTCTTTCTGAACACAGTGAACTGTACATTCCTACCATTAAACCGATCTAGATCCTATTTACTTCTTCTAGTTAATTA